TAGAGATACTCATAGCAATAAATAAATGTTTTACAACCGGAAGGCCAACTAGCCTTAAAACATATACAAGAAGAACCACTCCCACTCCGGTGGCCTAGAACATAAACTAACACCAAAAGCAAATACAATGATTTGAGTCCTTTGGAGTACAAACAACCAAAACAAACTAGAGAACACAAATAAAAAAAACACAAAAACCCAAACAACAAGAAAATAGCTAGGACCATTGAACCGAAGAACCTAGTCCTACTTATAAAACAAACATATCAACCTCCCAGATCAATGAACTCCCTCCACTCGTTCAGCGCTTCCTTCAATATCACCTGCTCAGCCATCCAAACTTGTTTGAACACCCAAAGGTTCTGTGCCTTCCACAGCCACCATAATATACAAGTCGACATTTGGATTCGGGCTTCAGCACAGTTGATCTTTTCAAATCAGAAATCCACCACCACCAGCTCCTAAAATCTTGGTTTTCTGCTTGTGGCATATCCCAAGATATAGATGCAAGTTTCTAGACAGTAATAGCTCGAGAACATTCAAAGAAAAGATGCCAAATAATCTCAGCTTTCTCTCCACGGACAGAGCAAACCCATTCCACATTAACACCTCTATGAATATGATTATCTCTTGTAGGAAGGGTGTTAGAAATACCTTTCCATAAGAAATGAATCAGCTTCATCTTCACTCTAAGCTTCCAGCACTTGAGCCTTGCATTTATGTCTTTTCTCACAACACTGCTTGTTTGTCCTATTTTTGTCACGTTTTTCGTGGTTATTTTTACCGTTCTTTTTCTCCCATTTTATGTTTTTCCCTTAGTTGTGGTCCGTTTTATTTCGTTTTGTGTGTTTTCATTAATTTAGAGACTTTATTTGTTTTTTCGGTTATTTTCTTCGTTTTCTCCGTTTTCGTTTTCCTCTTATGATGTGCAGGTTAGGCGGTTGATTATCATTTTATGGACATAAATATGTTCTGCAAGCTTGTAGAGGGATTCGTCGGAGTCACATAAGGAAAAGCACAAATCCGTCAAGCATGAAACCGTGCAAATCGTCCGATAGCGAGCCTCAATTTCGTGTCATGTCGGTGTCGCGCAGCAGCCCTTTTCACGGCACGTACAGTTCATCCCCTTCACGGCAGTCCATCTTCATCCACACCGTGAGTCCACCGTGCCGCGACATCACTCTCGGACCTCCACGCACAACAAGCAGCTCCGCTCCCCCAAACCTTAAGACAGCCACCAACCACTGCTCGACCCCGGGACACAGTAAAAATTTCTCTTGTCGCTGCATATTACCCTCCATGGCGCACCTCCATTTTCACAGGCTGCGCGTCTGCTGCTTCTCCGCGACAGCACCACCACATCACGGTGCGGCAACCACCATTCCACAGCGAGGACAGAACGTACAGCAAGCCTCGATCTCCACACCAGCAGCGCCACGCCAAACTTCCTCTACCACGTCGTGAAGGTTGAATCACGTCAGGAAGCTACTCCCGTCGCGCCGCGAAGCGCCGCCACGCCGCGGTGCTCCTACCCAGCGCGCCACTCTCCCCAGCACACCTTAGGAAGCCTCCACGCCGTGCCAGAAGAACCGCCACGCCGCTGTAACCTCTTCACGCCGCGCCGCCGCAGAGCCACTCTCCACGCCGCGGGACCAACTCTTTTCACAGCGCGACTCCTCCGCTGCTGCAAATTTTCCGACGCCCAGATTTTTCTCCTTCCGCGGCCGCGAGCTCCCTCCTTCACCGCGGCCGCGGCGACCAGAACCTCCCAGCCAGCCCTGACTTCAGACAAGAAAAACCACGGCCTCGGGACGATTCGCGACCGCGGAGCCGATCTTCGCCGCGGCCCGCAGGTCTCTCCGCGGCCGCGACTTGCACGTTCCCAGATTTTTAATTTTAGGCAGATTTTGTGTTTTGGGAGGAGAGGGCCTGTTCGTATGGAGACAGCTAGGTTTTATTTTTGGGGCTCTTCTTTTCTCTTAGAAAAACTGGTTCTTTTCATTTTTCTTTAATAATTTTCGACGGAGAACACGGATTGAATCTCGGAATTTGCTATTGTTTTCGGATTCAAACTTGTCATTCGGATTGTCATTCATCTTCGGATTTACTACTCGTAAGATCTTTCTTTTCAGTTAATTAATGAATATGGATTCGTTGATGATGATGATTTTGGCCGTTAATTCGATTATGAACAACTAAATCAATATGCTAGGGATTAGGGGATTGAGGTTTTGATTTGTTTGTGATTGCCGGGCTTGAGATTGATCAATTTGTGCGAGTTGTTATTTAACTAGGGTTTTTTCGATCTTTGTTCTCGAATTTTGCGAATTGTTGAAGGGTGACACTTCAGCGTCTAATTATTTTAATTGAGTTCGTTTAATTCATGCATGATTGTTATAAAATTCTAAATGACTAGTTGATTAATCACCTTCTAGTCTTCTTTAATCGACTTTTTGAACCGAAAGGGGAGGAGTCGGTCGAATTAGGCTCGTATGAACTAGGCTTGTTCGTTACTGTATTGCCTAGGCATTAATTGAATTGTTAATTTGTCGTTTAAGCTTGTTCTCTTGTTACGAAAAGTTATTGAGAATGAGTACTTGAACGTGCCGGTTAGTCAACTCACTTAACCGAACAATCGCTTGCTTGATAATTGCATCTCGAACCAAAACGGATATCCCCGACTCCCTAGCTCCTTAAATCCTATTTGTTCTGCGTGCTCGTTAGTTATTTACTTGCTTTATTTTAATTCTTGCAATAGTTGATAATTCAAAACCAACCAAATTTTGATTTAGAATGTCTAAAATTTTTATTTCTTTTATTTTCCATTTTTGTGTTTGAATAATCGTACAAAATAATACGGCTGACCTTCCTCGAGAGACACAACCCGAAGTCGAATCTTTTGATTTAACTCCAGAAAATATTTACAACAAAATTGGCGCCGTTGCCGGGGAAGGTTCAAGACTTATTTTGTGCGCTTATTCATTTTGATTTTCTGTGTTTCTCTTGTTTTCTTTTTATTTGTTTAGGTGTTAGTTTTTGTCTTTATTTTCATTCGATTTTCTCTTGTGTTTACCGCTGGTGCTCGTAACCTTCTGTTTTCTGGGTGTATGCGTACCAAGAGTGGACGTATATTCTCTCCGATCAACAAATCAGTCAACAAAAGCCTAAGGGAGCTACTAGAAGTGCTTACTCTGGAGTCACAAGAGAAAGACGAGCACTCTCCGGAATCATCTGAAGGAAGTGATTCAGACATGGCTGATCAACAACAACAACCTCCTCGTAATGTCCTCAGAGATCTGGCCCAACCTATGATCGGGCCAATCACTTCTTGCATTCGGTTGCCACAGGCCGCCCGAAACTATGAGCTGAAAATGATCCATTACAACCAATTGCCTTCATTCCACGGGCTCCCCAATGAGGATCCACTTCATTTTCTTCGGAAGTTCTACAACGTTCTACAGACGTTTCCTCTACATGGGCTATCTGAGGATCATCTAAAAATGCGGTGCTTCCCGGAGACGCTGAAGGACTGGGCTAAAGCGTGGTTTATGACCTTGGCCCCTGACTCTCTAACAACATGGACAGAGTTCTATTCAAAGTTTGTTGGGAAGTACTATTCCCACCAGAAAACCCAAGATATCCGGTCCCAGATCGTCTCTTTCACTTAGCTACCGAATGAGGCCCTTCATGAGGCCTGGGAACGATTCAAGGATCTCCAACGGCAATGCCCACATCATAACCTCTCACCGGGGCTTTTGGCGAAGTGCTTCTATGACTCCCTCCACCAGAACTTGCAATACATGGTGGACAATGCATCCGGAGGGGACATTGGGGCCAAAACAGCTGAAGAGATGATGGAGATTTACGAGACGATGAGTGCCAACTCATCTCAGAAAAGTGTAAGAGGAAAGAGGTCGACTGTGAATGAGGTGGGATCAAGCAATGATGTCATGGCCCAGCAGTTAGCCGAGCTCACGGAGCAAATGAGGCTACTGAATGCTAGGAATGCCCCTCCAATTCAGACTATGGCCGTGAGCACTTGAGGAGCATATGGAGTACAGGGACACAGTTTTGAGGTGTGCCCTATGGCTATCGAGCAAAATTATGGGGGGCAAGGAGTTGAACTGAACGTTGTGCAAGGGTACCAGAACAGGCCCGGGAATGACCCCTACTCAAACACGCACAACCCGGGGTGGCGAAACCACCCTCACTTCTCTTGGTCGAACAACAACTTTTAGCAACCACCTCAGCCTAACTTTGTTCCCCAACAGCATCAACCGAGGGGAATGTTAAGGCTGCCAGCACCCGAGACCGGACCGAGCCCACCGAGTATGGACGAAAAGCTCGACAAGATTCTGAATTTCATCACTAATCAGGATACGTCCATTAAGCGTCTCGAGACGCAAGTAGGCCAGCTAGCCACACGGGTGGGGAATATCGAGACGGAATTGGATAAAGGGAAGCTACCGAGCCAGCCAGAGCACACAAAGTCGGTCACGGTGCTTATGCCCGAGCTAGAGGGCTCGACAGAGAAAGGACAGAAGGCAGAGATTCCAGTCACACCGCCACCCGAGCCTACTTTACACAGAGCCCCGACCCAATACAAACCGAGGATTCTATTCCTGAGTCGACTTCTGGAGGAGAAGGACCGTAAGCTAATGCGAGACCTCCA